ATGTTTATTAAAATTGAATTCTTTTAACGAATTTTATCAACAAATTTTTAAATAATTGAATTATTTTGACAAATTTTAATAAAAATTTTTAAGAATAATTACATTTTTCGAGAAATTCGATTAAAAATGTATTAAAAAATAATTAAAATCCTGCGATGAGTTTTATTATTTATGAAAATAATTCAAATTTTCCCAAGAATTTTTTTTATTTATAAAGATACTAAATTTTAAGAATTTTTTTTTAATTTTTAAACATAACTGAATTTCTGTGAAGAATTTTATTATTTATAAAAAAAAATTAAGGTTGACAAAAATTAAGGTCCTGAAAACATTCTACGTTATTATTTATAAAAGTAATTGAATTCTTGCGATGAATTTTATAAAAATCTTTATGAGGTGTAGAATAGGAATTATGCCATGAGAAGTAATTTCAAAAATGTGAAAAAAATCGATACCCAGTGGGAAATTTCCAACCGGCGTGGATCCTCGCCTGTACCGACGCCGGAGTAGTGGTACTGGCTGGGAACCGCCTGCCTACCGCCCGAGAACTGGTATTCTACCAAAAGATGACTTGGCCAGGAGCTGGCTGGCCATCCGTCTCGGAACTGGCATTCTACCGCCCGGTAACCGGCCGCGAAGAGCCGTTCCGTGTATAATTCAACCGGCTGGGACCCGGCACTGTACCGACTGCGGATCTTTCATTTCCTAGCCAGATGTGCGCTGGCAATGCTGGCATTCTACCGCCTGACAACCGGCTCGGATCAAAATAATAATTTCAACAAATATCAATAAAAAATAATAATTAATTGCAAAAGATAAATACGGATGACAATTCATTGACAGTTCACTTTACACATTTTTTTATTTCTTTATACACTTAAACGCAATTTTTTATTACATACACATTTGAAAAATCCTAACGCTTGGGGGTACGAACCTACGCCTAACCGAATATTTACGCACCGAAATCTCGCACGCTAACCACTATGCTACGCTCGCATGGAACTCTCAAACCTTAAATGCTTTCAAGTCTCACCAGCTGAAATAAAAATTGTAAAATTACTACGCGGCAATAGGCAATTTGGAAATACGGACTGATGTTATACCGGTATATTTTCAATACTTTACTGAATGTGTATTTATGAATATTTCAATATTTCGTTTAAAAAAATGTTTAAAAAAATGTTATATTTTTATTATTATGTTTTTTAATATTTTATTACATAATATATCGAATAATATGAACATAACTTCACTGCAAAACAATTTTTAACATATAAGTAATAGTATTAAATTGAATAAAATTTTAATGCACAACACATTTTTTTAATTATTTAATTTGCAGAAAAGTGTCAATAAATAATTACTTAATATATTGTTTAAATTAAAAAGAGATTATTAATTAATTAATAATAAATTAATTAATAATAATCTCTTTTTTATATATTGTATTTAATATGTTAGGTATTTATTGTAGGCATTATAATATATTGATCACATTTTCTTTCAAGTTAAATATATTTTACTTCTTTCAAATTAATATATTATTTATTAAAAATTATTTATTTAATTGCACATTAATAAAGTTGGATTTTTATATATATATAATGAAAAAATTAAGTTTCTTATATTCTTCCTTTGCATGAATACTATTAATTTATTTATTGGTTAACTAATAATAATATTATAATAAATGCAATTAGTTATTGTAATAATTAATTATAATAATAAAATAAATTTATGATTATACTGATAATGTAAACTATAACAATAAATGACGAGATCCGCAGTCGGATCCGCCCCAGCACCGAGCCAGTGCAGACCTAACATCCGTCATTCTTCCGACGCGCGTAGAAGAATGAAATCTGCAGGCGGAACAAATCCAGTACCGCGCCAGTACTGACGAAAGTAGAAAGGCGGATCCAAAAGTCGGAGCCTAATCTGTTCCGCGCCGGTTGCATTTTAGGATCCGAATCGGTACAGACCATCGGTGCTGGCGGTCCGTACGGGCGCGGATCCCAGGCGGTTGTATAATCCGACATTCGTCCGACTTTTCCTCCTGGGTATCTGTAAAAGGTGTCCAAGAGCGCTTCGAGTTCTTTTTAGCGTCATTGGCTATTTTTTCTTTTATCGTAGCATCTCAAGAATTCTGAAGACAGCTTCAAATTGCTCTAAAGGATGGAAATGAAGGAAATATTAATGTAGAAAGTCACTTATATGTATCGTAGATTAACAGTGGTTTCATTTTTCATGTTTTCACATTACATAATTTAAATGCGTTTTTCTCGAAATGACATTTTTCGAAACGGTGGGCAGTCTAACCAGAACAGTTTTGATCGAATTGACTTCGGCCAAAGTTTTTTTTGTTCGTCATTTACTAATGCTTTTAAGTACGTAGTGGATTTATTTTTGGTTTTTTTTTGACAATAGATATTTTGAAAAAATTTCGCCCTAAAAATCGACTTTTTTCATCTGCCAAATACACAAAAATTAATATTTTTAAAATATCCTACGTACTCGAAAGCTAAATCTATCACAGATTCAGAAACACTTTGAATTTTTGTTTTCGATTAAACGGTCTAACCAGAATATTGCCCACCGATTTGCCCTGCATAGAAACGAGACCAACTTTGGCGCCCTCTAGAGGCAACAAATTGAAACTTTTTTTAAAGTATAAATCTATTTTCTTAAACTTAAAAAGTTAATAAATAAAGTCCTCGAAACCAAATTTTGTTTACTTTATTCCTGTGTCTTAAAAAAATTCATGAAAAACAGGTTCAAAAGGCACCTTAAAGGTGTCACTCCCCATTATGAAAATAATTGAATTATTTCGAAGAGAAAAATTTTGTAAATAATTGAATCCCTTTGAAATTTTGCTAAGGATTTTATTCAAATCTTTAAAAATAATTGAATTTCGAAGAAGAATTTTATTATTTATAAAGATAATTGAAATTTTAACAAGAATATTTAAAAAATTTTTTAACATAATTGAAATTCTGCGAAGAATTTCTATAACTTTTGAAAAGAATTAAATTTCTGGAATCATTTGTAACCTTTCCAAAATTCAATTTTTTTACCTACCTACTTTTAACTAAAATTCTTCTATCAATCTAGTATTTATGAAAATTGTAAAAATTATTCATTAAATAATTTATAAGTCATAATTTTATGATAATTCTTGAAAAATTAAGTTATTTGAAAATAAATTATTGTAAGTTATAGAAAAAATTGAAGGTTTTGTATTAAAATTCGTTGTAATTTCATAGTTTACGAGGCAAATAAAAAAAAACATCAAAATTCAGAGTTTTCTCGTGAATTTTAAAAATTCAATTTTTTCCAGTACTTTTACTAAAAATCCCTTACTTTTCCCTGATTTCCTTGACCAATTTTACTTTCCTTGACTTTTCCCTGAATTCCCTGACCTGTGGCAATCCCTGTATTAGATACTCAAAAAAATGTTCTATTACATTTATTTACGAATTGCTTTAATTGTAAATTCTTTAATTAAATTTCTTTAATTGCTATTGACCTGCGGCAATCTAAGAAGTGAAAAGAAAGAAAAGAGGAAATGAAGAAAAAAATAAATACAGGAAGAAAAGAAGATGATAAGGAAAAAAACAAGAAAAAAAAGAAGAGAAAAAAAGGAAATTAAAAGAAAGAAAAATTAGGAAAGATTGAAAAAGACTCAAAAAGATTAAGAGAGCTTAAGAATTGCCATCGGTACACGAACGGATTTCTAAGTAAATTGTTAAAAATAAAAATTAAATGTGATGACGAGTGTAATTGCAATGAGACCCTTTTTGACAATTAGTTGTTTAATTTTCTTTCTAATGAGAGTTGAATCGTTTATCTATTTTGAACCATTATTGTGATAACTATGATGTAAGACTTTCGAACAGTCATCGTTCATTTATCCAGGTGGCATTGAGTACTTGGCCCACTTTTTATCACGGTTAAATAATTGCCAAACCTACTTTAATTCGTGCCAACTTCTTTTTCTCGTTTCGCACATCAATCATTTGAATCGTGTCAAATCAAAACCGACCGCAAAAACATTAATTCACAATAATAGTTTCAAATACGTAAATTTTGAAATTAAAAAAAAAATTTTGATCTTTCTATGTAATTGAAAACCGAAATATTTTTTTCCTCAAATGAATATTTTGTTCCATCCTCTAAGAAGAATGAGAAATAATTTTTTTTCTATAAGGATAAAATATTTCAATTTTCAATAAGCTTTGAAAGCACACTTTGACATGGTCCTTTGCGGCTAAAAGTGGTGTCATTTCCGTGCTTGGAATTCATTTCCGCTCCTTCCTCACTCAAACTCCATACGTGTGGAAAAATCACTCGTTCAGAAATCTTTGTTCTGCTTTGATGTCTCTGACAATTTAAACTTCTTCGTGGGAAATGACATTTTCAGAATAAAGAATTATCACCTTCTAATTGATAAAAAAAATTCTTCTAGTTTCACGGAAAAAGGCTAATTATACTCTTTTCTGTGAAACTAAAAGAGTTTTCATAGAATTGGTTTTATTCTCTAAGGACCATTTTTGGTTTTATTCTCGAAGAACAATATTAAAGTCAAAAATCGATAAAAGTAATTACAGGGAATAATGATGTATTGTGCTAATTGTGATAATTACCGCGGTGACGAATTAATTACGTATATATAAAGGAAGGAAATTTTTCATTCGATTTGTAATGTAATTAGTTCGTTAGAGTTTCTGTAAATTATATTTCATTACTGTTTTCGAACATTTAAGGTTTAACATTTTCCTTTTCTATTAATAAAAGGAAAATCGAATTTTTAATGCGAAAAAAATTTTTTTCGGACGAAGAAAGAAAAAATTTATTTAGTTGCTTTATTTTTCTTTTCAAGCATTATTCTAGTACTTTTGTACGAAAGGGTTTTTTACTCGTACATGCGTAAATAAATAAATAAATAAAAATATTAGCAGGAGGTAAAAAGTAAAGATGGAAATGAATTTTGTTTACAGAATGGTTATCCAGCTAGACGACGTTCTTTAGTCGATGATGCTCGATTTGAAACTTTGGTTGTGAAACAAACTAAGCAAAGTGTACTTGAGGAAGCCAGACAGAGAGCTAATGGTACGATTTTATTTCTAAACTAACTAATCTTCTCTTTTTAAAAAAATTATCTCATTCTATTATTGTCTATAGTCTTTACTTTTTTATTGTCCTTTCTTTATTTTTCTCATCGTCCATTTTTTATTTTTCTATTCTTTATTTTTAAATGTTTGTAGTTTCAATTTTAAATGTTTGTAGTTTGAATCTTAAATAATTGTTGTTTGAATCTTAAATGTTTATAGATTAAATTTTAAATGTTTGTAGTTTGAATCTCAAATGTTTGCAGTTTGAATATAAATTTTTGTGATTTGAACTTTTAATTTTCATTTGATTTTATTCGCATGATCGTTTTCTTTTCTATTAACAATTAGACCCCGCATGTGATCAGGATCAAACTCAAATTGAAGATGAAACTTACATTTTATCGAGCGATGATGATCAATCAGAATCGCTCAGTCGTGCAGCTCAGGAAAGTGGTACGCAAATATTTATAATTTTTTTATTTTACATTTTATTTTCTGATTTTTGCATGTGCATGATTGTTTTAATTGTTCAATGTATTGGTTAAATTTTAGAAGCTAAAGCCGAAGTTTCTTCCTCGGATGGAGAGGGAAAACCGGAAGACGATGAAAGTAAGTTTCTTTAAAGAATAAATTAATATCCTGTAGAATTCCCTTCTTATTCTGAGTATTACTTTTATTATTTTCATAATTCCATTTATTTCCCAAGAGGCTTTCTCCCAGATCTGAAAAGTTACTTAGGAGAAAATTTATAACGTCCCCTATTTTCCGTTTCTGCTTCTCTTTTTTCCCCTCATCTCTTTTCAACCATTTCACGTCGTCGGGAAATAAAGCAGAAACTTTTAGCCTTTTCAACGCTTTTATTATCTTTTGTCAAAAGAAAATGCACTTTAACACTTTCAACTTGAGAATTGCACCATCGTTTAAAGGAGAGAAATATTGGGAAAATAAAGTAGCACTTAGTTCTTTTTGTAGCAATTTTAAAAAATTTCCGCTAAATGCGTTTTTCAATTAGAACTAATTATTGAGGGTTTTTTGTTGTTTTGATAAAGAAGGTGAAAACGTATTTCTGCACTGAAAGGCTTAAACGGTTGCTGCTTTAGGCAATCGCCAATAAACACAAGAAACCCCCTTCATTTACCCAGAATTATGTGATAATTAGGAAATAATTTGTCAATTATTAAACAATCAGTGCGGTCAATAGTAATTAATTAAGAATGTAACGAACAAAAGGGGTTATTTCCATTTGAAAAAGAAAATCCACATATAAATATTTACAACCAAATTGATCCTAAAAATCAAATTTCATCTACAAAAAAATAATCATTCACTTTATTTCAAAAAGATGCTGGCCTCACAGAGGAGGAAGTGGTCCTGGCGAAGACAATTGCCGAGACACCGGAAAACGAGCAGAACATCCAAAGAGCAGCACTTGTCCTCCGCCTCCGCGAGGGAATAAGTTCACTGTCACGGATTTTGAAGACAATTGAAAATTTCAAAGGCACTGTGACACACGTCGAATCACGACCTTCCAAAAAAGAAGGTCTCCAATTCGACGTATTGGTGAAAGTGGACATGACAAGACAGAGTCTTCTTCAATTGATTCGTAATCTTCGACAGAGTTCATCACTCGCAGAAGTTACTCTGCTCGCTGATAATTCAGTTAGCATCAAGGATCCCTGGTTCCCAAGACACGCGTCCGAACTCGACAATTGCAATCATTTGATGACAAAATACGAACCCGATTTAGATATGAATCATCCTGGGTTTGCTGATAAGGAATACCGAGCACGCCGTAAAGTAATTGCTGAAATTGCCTTTGCCTATAAATATGGTGATCCAATTCCCAGCATTCCTTACACGGAAACTGAGAATAATACCTGGAATCGTGTTTTTAATACATTAATTGATTTGGTGCCAAAGCACGCTTGCGTTGAGTATCAGAGAGTCTTCAAGAAATTGCAAGATGAAAAGATTTTTGAACCAGCACGCATACCACAATTGCAGGAAGTCAGTGACTTCTTGAAGAGGGAAACTGGATTTACCCTTCGACCAGCTGCTGGTTTATTGACTGCACGTGATTTCCTTTCGAGTTTGGCCTTCAGAGTGTTTCAGAGTACTCAGTATATTCGACACATCAACAGTCCATATCATACACCCGAACCGTGAGTATTTTTATTTATTTAATTTTTTATTATTAGTATCATTATTATGGTTGATAAAGGTTTAAATCTTTTTTTCAATAAAATGATTCAATTCCATTTTTTTAATGATTGAAAAAGAATTGGCTCACACGCAAAAAACGTGACGGCAATCGATATTGCATTATGACTCGTTCCAGTGAACAGAGGACGATCATAATAAAATTACTACACCTCTCTAAGCTTGTAATGGAACTCTAATTGGCTTTTAACGTCGCGACGACGTTGATAACTCACTTTTGCAGTTGAGAACTTGCTCTCCATGAACTCGATCTCACAGAAATGAGAGAGGATAAAAGCATAATTTTATCACACACTAATCAATCTTCCATAAACTTTCCCCCCATTCGTTCGCAATTGACCGTTTAACACTTGTTCTATATTTCTATTTTGTTGTTTTTTTTAATTCCTAGCATAGCAAATACTTTTTGCTTTTGTTTAAAATCCTTTAATTTATAACATTTTGTTTTATTTCGTAATTTTTAATTTTTATTTGTAACTTTGGCTGTTGGAATTTAATGGATATCTAACGAAGACAATTATTTACGTCTAGCAATTAAATTATTGATTTTCTTTGAATGTCGCCAAATTTGATCATCTTTGCAACTTCCTCTTCGATCTTTTGAAGACTTTCTGCTTTCTCTAAGGTATTACTGATCCACCTCATCTAAATATGGGTAGTACTGATTTAAAACCAGTTCCTATCATATTTAGAAGACGTTTATCCTTTATCTGAAGGCTTTTATGGAGTTAATGCAACTTTCTTTGGATATCGCAAGACCTAACCATCTTTATGATTTTCCCTTCGACGCTTTAATATTAATTTTGCTTTGATGTTAACTTTGGAGTGTCGCAAGACTTGACCATCTTTGCGACATCCTCTTCGATCTTTTAAGGAGAGTCCAGAATAGAGTCGAACGCGCTGATAGTAACGCGCTCGTCCATATGGAATACATAGGACAAGCGCGTTGTATCAGCGCGTTCATACCGACTTCGACTCTATTCTGGACTCTCCTTTAAAGAGGTACTGCTTCCTATTACCTAATACTAGGGGAGATTGGGGCAAAATGGGGTACCATTTTGAAATTGGTTGTTTACAGAGAACCAAACGAATAAACCGATTCAACTAAACTTTAGAATTCTTTTTTGTACACTTTGCTTTGAGGAAATTATGATATTAGCGGTGAAAAAATTTTTTGAAAGAACTTATATCGTATTTTCTGAGAAAGTGCTAAAACCCCATTTTGCAGCACATCCAAACTATAGTTCCTCCACTTTCCGACGATTGGGATTGCACGGTACTCAACATTTTTTCAGTGTAGAATTTAACAAAAAACATGGATATTGCAAAATATCGATATATTGATAGTGAAACATCGATAATATAAATGCCTCGAAACAAAAATATCGATTCTTCAACGGGAAATGTTTAAATATGCATAATATAATGTTTTTAAATAGTTTTATAAAACGGCGTAGCCACCGGTATGCCCCACACAGAGGTACCCCATTTGACCCGCATACTCCATTTTGTCCCACTCTCCCCTAATCTAATCTAATTGGCCAAACCCAATCCGGAACTCTAAATTAACGTACAAGGTTTGCTCTAATGTTTGGCACATCTGGTGTACCAGAAGTGCTCTTTTCCTTATACGGAGCAACCGTATTGAGGAAACTTGCCAAATCAATGCCGTTTCTCTAAGTCGCGTAATGCTTCCGCCTGAAAGTAGATATTTTCTTTAACATCTGCATTGTGATTATGAATCATAAGTCTTTAAGTACCATAAAGTAGTCCTAACAGATTATTAGATTTAGCATCTGGATTATGATTATGGAACATAATCTCTTAGTACCATAAGTATAGCCCAGTAAAAAAAAGTATTGGAAGAGAGCGAAATCGCATTGGCGGTGAGTTTCTGCCAATACGTTTTCGCGTGAAAACCGTATTGGGGGCATTCTGACAATCCTGCTTTTTCACCGTCAATCCCGTCCTCTTGAATCTTTCAATTTCACGTTTATGACTCGATTTGGCATTTTAATCAAAAAGACTGATTGATTTAATGTGTAAGATAGCTGATAACGAACAGGAAATATAAAATTTTCTTAAAATGTAAATAAATGAAATTTGACAAACTGTTGGTCTCCCAGTGGGCACAGGGACGTCTAAAAGACGTCTTAAAGACGTCCCTTTTTGTCCGCGGACGATTCGGGGACAATGATGGCAATGTCTCTGAGTCATCAAAAAGACAACTAAAAGACGTCTAAAAGACGTTCTATGTCTGGTCCAAAAGACGTCTAAAAGACATAAGAAAGGACGTCTAAAAGACATAAAAGGGACGTCTAAAAGACGTCTTTTGGACGTCCTTTTTACATTCCTTCAGATCTTAAATAAACATTTCTTTTATAACATTTTCTAAGCTGAAATTCAGTAATATTGTATTAAATTTATTTTAAGTTTAATTTTATTTTTTCTAAAATGTGGAGAAATAATGAAAAAATTCCTACGAAGCTGGGATCGAACTCGGATACCTTGGGCTTGAAACACTGCGCTTTAAGCACCTCAGCCGTTCAAGACAGATATGAACCTCTACAAAGTTAACGATCTCACTTGTCAATGAAATGAATTTAACTTAGAAAAATTCCAATAAATTTCACATTCAAAAATTTCTAAGTCCAAGTTGAACTTAGAAAATAATATTTTCTATTTATGAAAATTTTTCTATTTTCAAATGTTGAATGAAAAAGACGTCTTTTAGACACTTTAAAGACATCTAATGGCCAAGACATAGAACATGAATAGGACGTCTTTAAGACGTCTTAAAGACGTCTTTTTGTACAAGTCCAAAAGACGTCCGCAAAAAGACATCCTTAGGACGTCTTTTGAACAAGTGTGCCCACTGGGCTATTACCATATGATTTAGGGTATTTTCTAGATAAGCGCTGTGACTTATACTCACAGCGCCCCTAGCGCGAACGTCGAAAGCTCCATAAATCATGTGGTAATAGATCAACAGTACACAGTCGAGTCGATCAATAAACGTGAAATCGAAAGATTCCAGAAGACAGGATTGGCAGAATGCCCCCAATACGGTTTTCATGCGAAAAAGTATTGGCAGAAACTCACCGCCAATGCGATTTCGCTCTCTTCCAATACTTTTTTTTTACTAGGAGTCTTAATGGATTATTAGCTTTAACATCTGGACTATGATTATGGATCATAAGTCTTTAAGTACCACAAGTAGTTCTAATGAATTCGGGTATCCTAACCGACCCAACTTTTTCTGAATGTTTCCAATAGGTACCTAAAGTGTTTTAAAGGCGTCTTTAGGATATCTTGTGAACATCTATTGATATTCAGAGAAGATCTTATTGACGTCTAGCATTAAAAATACTTCTGTAGGGAATTATCTCTTCAAGATAATCTTTGAACGGCCAGATGACTTCTAAAGGGTATCCTAAAGTCGTCATTAAAACAAACAAACGATGTCCTCCTGTAAAGAACTTTGTTCTTACTCAAGAATACTACTATTTAGTGCTCTAATCAACTTTAATATCAAAACTAATCGACTACAATTTTTCAGGGACGCAATCCACGAACTTTTGGGACACATGCCCCTTCTGGCTGATCCAAGTTTCGCTCAATTTTCCCAGGAAATTGGTCTCGCCTCACTAGGAGCATCAGACGAAGAAATTGAAAAACTCTCAACAATCTATTGGTTCACAGTGGAATTTGGCTTATGTCGAGAGGGCAAAGAAGTGAAAGCCTATGGAGCCGGTTTACTATCAGCATATGGTGAACTTCTTCATTCGCTCAGCGATAAATGCGAACACAGAGCTTTCGATCCATCAATCACTGCACTTCAACCATATCAGGATCAAGATTATCAGCCAGTTTACTATGTTGCCGAAAGTTTTGAAGATGCCAAGGAGAAATTCCGTCGTTGGGTCAGTACAATGAGTCGACCATTCGAGGTACGATTCAATCCCCACACACAACGTGTGGAGGTCCTTGACACTGTTGACAGGCTGGAAAATCTTGTCTCGCAAATAAATCTCGAAATGACCCACCTTACGAATGCGCTCAACAAAATGAAATCGTCCTTTGCGTAAAATCACAAGCTTATGAACTCCTAAAAAAACTCGGACGAGGATCATTATTGTAGCCTCACTTTTAGCGCGCCTATTTCGCTCAGCACAAACTTTTTTTTTCTCTATCTGTCGCATTCTGAACAAATTCGCATTATTCGAGTGCTTTATTTATTGAATTGTACAACTAATTGTCTCTCAATTATTCTTTAATTTGTTCCTAAAAGAAAGTCTCTAGAGATTTTAATCCAAGACGAATCCATCGATTTCATTATATTAAAGATTTAATTAAAAATAAAAATTCTTTATCCAGAATAGATCTAAGAAGAACGAAAGAAACTCTAAATCGATCGCTTCTCCCTGGAGGATAATAATCTCTAGCAAATCTGTATCAAAGATTTTCTTCGAGTACGAGTATTCCACTATTGTATATTTTAATTTCCTCCCTTAAAGTTTAGGATCTGACGAATCTCATCTTTACATTTTTTGTCGCAATCATTCTTTTCCTCGCTCTGTGTATAAAGTCGTCATTTTTTTTGTCGCCTGTGCAGCATCATCTGTGATTCGGGTTTGATTTTTATTTTTAATTCTACGCCGTAATTACTGTAAGTTTAGAAATTGCAATTCAGATCTTTCGTTTGAAATTGATGACTTTTTTAATTTTAAAAAGAATTAAAAGTAAATAGAATGTAGAGAAAAATTGAAGGCGAATTTAAAGAGTAGAATATTCTGCATAGATAAATTTTAACGAAATAGAATATAACTTGAAGTCAACAAATAAAATTGAACCAAATAATAAAACAGTTAAATTCAATAATAGAGAATATAAAACATTTTACTGAATTATAATAAATAAGTTTTAAAGAGATAAATAAACATTTATTCAAATCGTTAATAAAACTATTTAAATTATATAAAATATAAAAAATAAATTTAAATCGTTGAGGTGTATCTAAATCGTTATAAAACGAATAAAAAATTCAAGTTAAATGTTCCAGTGTTATTAAAAAAAATGAAAAAAAATTGTTAAATGATAAAAATAGTATATAAATAGCTTAAAAGGAATAATAGAATTTAAGACAATATTGAATCACCCCGAAATAAAGATCTGCCCAGGTGAACGTTTTATCGTTAATACTGTATTATTATTATTATTATTATTAATAATACATATTATTTTATTTTTTATTATTTTATTTTAATGTACAGTACAGTATCGATAAATTTTATTCATTGTACAGTAACGGTAATTTTTTTACTGTACAGTACAGTAATGATAATTTTTTTTCCATACTGTACCGTACTGTGTTGTATTATTGTATAATTGTTTAACGCACAATAAAACAAAAAGCACCTAAATTCCGTTTGTACAATAAACAAACGGATATACGTCTTTTAATGTGATTGATTAAAAATATATTGTATTGTACTCGGTCATTAAAAAAAATCGACGAGAACGATTTCGACAATATTACAGTCGTAACAAAAGTTCGCAATTTTATTTAAATTTGTATTTTTATTTTCTTTTTTATTCGATTGGATCTCTCATTTTGTGTGTGAATGTGCGTGGACCAAGAAGGCTAGAGACAGGAGGTGAAACTTCGGTAGTGGGGATGAGTCAAGAACCTTTCTTTAACCAGGCGTTTTTCGTTTCGAAAAGTCGCCGGCGCGGTGCTACTGCACATCACTCACACATTCAAATTCTTGTATACCATATGTTTTACATATGTGTATGATATGATTTTAATTTGAGGTTAACTTTAAAGTGCAATCAGTGCAATCGAGACACAATTGACAATGTGTGTCATAACGGATATATAGAAATAATGTGAGTGATTATTAAATTAAGTGTTATTCAAATAGTTAAAAATTCCGAAAACGTGCTGTGTGAAAAGTTGTAACAAGAAGAAAGATAAACACAACACTATGACTATTACTTTTTGTTAACTTTTAATACACTTCATGCTACAGTTTACACATTCTTTTGTTTTTAAACCGTTTTTTTAATAACTGTAAGATGTTTGAAAGTATAAACACTTATATTTCATATTGTATTTGTATAGAATATATTTTCCCGTGTTTACGTGTGTTAGATTGCGCAGAAGTCCGTGTGGTCTATTGCGGCGAAAACTTTTTTGAAAGTAAACGCCTGACCATACATCAGCTGAGCGACTCAGCATTGCCATACCCCCACTACCGAAGTTTTACCTCCTGTCTCTAGTCTTCTTGGCGTGGACTTAAGTCCAACGCACAATAAGTTCGCGAAAGTCGTTCGCGAACGAGACGCATGAGATAGACAAGGACACAAATATATCTCTGTCCTTTTCTAACTCATGCTTTGCGTTCGCGAACCTATTGTGCTTAGGCCTTTAGAATCGTAAATTTAAAAAAAAGGAACTGGTTTGAAATTTTTGTTATGATTTGTGATGCTTGATTATACATAGTTATTAATTATATCTATTATAGTATTAATTAGACTAAAATGATCATGTTGGTCATGATGGTATATATAATAGAAATATTTAAGTAAAAGGTAAAAATTTTTCTAAAGAATTTCAGTATTATATCTTATATTTTCAGAAGATAATTATTTCCTTATTATTTTTATTGAGTTATTATTATTTTTATTAGTATCTTTATTATTATTAGTATCTTTATTTTTTTTATTAGTGTTTTTATTATTTTTATTATGTTCAGTAGTATTTTTATTATTACAACATTATTTAATTCTTAATTACTATTATTAATATTATTATTACCTCTATGGAAAAATGTTACTTTAATTTCAAAAATTAATTTGTAACATTCGTTAGCATCACACATAGTAACTTTAATACTGTCATGCTAAATAAAAAAAGTCTTTGCTTTAAGGTTGTTTTTCCCATGACTATACAAGTTAATTTCAGACTAAAAATAAAATGGAGACTTTTTTAATTTTACGGCAGAATGAATCAGTGGTTCACTTTTTAAAAAATAATATGTTTAATTTGAGAGTTTTCTCTCTGCTATTAATTAATATTCTTTTGTCGATAGATTCTTAATGCCCTGGTGGTTTTAATTTGTCGTTTGATAGTACGAGAAAGAGAGAAAGCGAAAGAAAGAAAGAGAGATTATTGTTATAATTAGCTAGTAGTTCAAGTACGTCCTTGCTTGTGCACCTAGCACTGTTTCACCGCTAACCGTGTGTACAAATTTGAAAATGAATCATATATAATGATTCACATTATTTGTATTATATTGTAAAGTATCAGCAAAATAAAAATTTTAAGATGCGAATCTTAAAAATGTTGTTATTTATTTTCATACTCTTTTGAGTAAAATTGATTTAATAAATAAAAATAATAACGTAAAAAGAATTAATTAATAATAATAAATTATATAATTAATAACGTAATAAGAATTATATTATTTATTGATTTTTTAAATTCAATTTAAAGAACGTTAAGAAATTTACTTTTATTATCAGTACCTATAAATTCAAATTTAAAACAATAAATTAGTTTAATAATTAAAATATTAATTTTTTTGTTTATTGCTTCCTCATAGAGAAAGTATTGTAATACCAAAATTTTTCGAGTTCGATGTTTTGACATATCTTTATGTTATTTGATCTCAGGAGTTCAAAAATGACATTTTTAAAACATGTCATTCCGTATGTGTAAACATCACATTTTCATAAATATCTCGAGATCAAGAAGAGCTTTAAGGATGATTTTTTTAAATTGTAGGTATAGAAAACAATAACTTATTTATGCAACTTTAAATATTTACTAAATGAGCAATTATATTAATTATAATACACTTTGTAACATGTGGCTGCTTAGTGTCTCTCCTTGCACGTGGTCGGTAGCCTTCTAAATGCTTCTAAAGGTACTCTCTCACCTCTACTGCCTGCCTGCCTGCGCAGGCAGACGCAAGTGAGAGAGTAAAAACATTAATTTGAATTGTCTGACTCTCTTACTCTTATGTGGTTATCAGAATCCTTTCTAAAAAAAGACATGGGCAAGATTAGACATGGGCTAAAAGAATCGAATGCACTCGAAAGTGTAAATCGAAAAGTATCGAAAAGAATAAGCATCGGTAATATGAATAGAAAGGCGAACTCATGTTTCCAAATGAAATTGTAGAGCCTTAAAAATTCACATATACACGGAAAAGTTTTTGGGCGAGCAGACGTCTCTCACTCGCCTCCCACAGAAAAGGTTTTCTGCTTTCTCTCTAAAGAGAGCTCTGATGCCCCACAAGAGAGCTCTGACGCCCCACAGTAGGAAAGCAGCAGTCTCTGTGGGTGAAATGAGCTACCAAAATGGGGCTGTCACTTTACCATAGGTACTGGTCACTCAGCGCCACCACAACAGGTACAGCGACTCGCCCAAGAACTTTTCCGTGTACCCAGGAGGAAAAGTCGGACGAATGTCGGATTATACAACCGCCTGGGATCCGCGCCCGTACGGACCGCCAGCACCGATGGTCTGTACCGATTCGGATCCTAAAATGCAACCGGCGCGGAACAGATTAGGCTCCGACTTTTGGATCCGCCTTTCTACTTTCGTCAGTACTGGCGCGGTACTGGATTTGTTCCGCCTGCAGATTTCATTCTTCTACGCGCGTCGGAAGAATGACGGATGTTAGGTCTGTACTGGCTCGGTGCTGGGGCGGATCCGACTGCGGATCTCGTCATTTATTGTTATAGTTTACATTATCAGTATAATCATAAATTTATTTTATTATTATAATTAATTATTACAATAACTAATTGCATTTATTATAATATTATTATTAGTTAACCAATAAATAAATTAATAGTATTCATGCAAAGGAAGAATATAAGAAACTTAATTTTTTCATTATATATATATAAAAATCCAACTTTATTAATGTGCAATTAAATAAATAATTTTTAATAAATAATATATTAATTTGAAAGAAGTAAAATATATTTAACTTGAAAGAAAATGTGATCAATATATTATAATGCCTACAATAAATACCTAACATATTAAATACAATATATAAAAAAGAGATTATTATTAATTAATTTATTATTAATTAATTAATAATCTCTTTTTAATTTAAACAATATATTAAGTAATTATTTATTGACACTTTTCTGCAAATTAAATAATTAAAAAAATGTGTTGTGCATTAAAATTTTATTCAATTTAATACTATTACTTATATGTTAAAAATTGTTTTGCAGTGAAGTTATGTTCATATTAATCGATATATTATGTAATAAAATATTAAAAAACATAATAATAAAAATATAACATTTTTTTAAACATTTTTTTAAACGAAATATTGAAATATTCATAAATACACATTCAGTAAAGTATTGAAAATATACCGGTATAACATCAGTCCGTATTTCCAAATTGCCTATTGCCGCGTAGTAATTTTACAATTTTTATTTCAGCTAGTGAGACTTGAAAGCATTTAAGGTTTGAGAGTTCCATGCGAGCGTAGCATAGTGGTTAGCGTGCGAGATTTCGGTGCGTAAATATTCGGTTAGGCGTAGGTTCGTACCCCCAAGCGTTAGGATTTTTCAAATGTGTATGTAATAAAAAATTGCGTTTAAGTGTATAAAGAAATAAAAAAATGTGTAAAGTGAACTGTCAATGAATTGTCATCCGTATTTATCTTTTGCAATTAATTATTATTTTTTATTGATATTTGTTGAAATTATTATTTTGATCCGAGCCGGTTGTCAGGCGGTAGAATGCCAGCATTGCCAGCGCACATCTGGCTAGGAAATGAAAGATCCGCAGTCGGTACAGTGCCGGGTCCCAGCCGGTTGAATTATACACGGAACGGCTCTTCGCGGCCGGTTACCGGGCGGTAGAATGCCAGTTCCGAGACGGATGGCCAGCCAGCTCCTGGCCAAG